TACAAAATTATGCAAATGGAGACTAATTTATCTACAGGTGATAAGGCATATGAGATTTATATGCCCACCCCTCTTGCAGATGCAGAGGAAATTCACCCCAAACTGCACAGATCCCCTGAGATCTGGTGGAGATACAGGTTATCTGCATGAGGGCATTGTTCTCCATGCTGGCTCCTGTCCACCAGTGATCTGCCATCCTGATTCTAGTGGGGCCAGCCTGCCAGTGAATCCCACATAGGACTTGTCTACACTTAAAATGCTGCAGCATTTCAGGGAAGACACTACCTATGCCACTGGGAGGAGTTCTTCCATTGGCAGAGGTACTACACTTCCCCAAAAACTGGTAGCTAGGTCGAGGGGAGAATTCTCCTGTCAACTTAGCGCTGTCTACATCAGGGGTTCGGTCAGTTTAATTGCGTCGTTCGAGGGTGTGGATTTTTTACACCCCTGAGCAACATAGTTATACTGACCTGATTTCCTAGTGTAGACCAGGCCATAGTCAGCAACTCCAGGACTCTGTACAGAAGGGGTCCTGCAGCAACTTTCCCCAGAAACAGACCCCTGGATCCAAGAGAGCCTTCCATCAGGGAGACAGAAGTGCAGAACAGACAGGCTGAGAGAGCACATCCAATCCTAAGTCTTGTATTCACTGGAGTAGTTAGCTCAAGTTAGTACACTTGAGCTACTGCAGTGTTCTCAATCGGGGTATGCGTACCTCTGGGGGTACACAGAGGTCTTCCAGGGGTACATCAACTCATTGAGATATTTACCTAGTTTTACAACAGGCTACATAAAAAGCACTAGCGAAGCCATTACAAATTAAAATTTCATACAATGGGTTATACTGTTGTATATTCTATACACTGAAAAGTAAGTACAATATTTATTTTCCAGTTGATTTATTTTATAATTATATGGTAAAAATGAGAAAGTGAGCAATTTTTCAGTAATAGTATGCTGTGATATTTTTATTTTTATGTCTGATTTTGTAAGCAAGTAGTTTTTAAATGAGGTGAAACTTGGGAGCAAGACAAAACAGACTCCTGAAAGGGGTACAGTAATCTGGAAAGGTTGAGAACCACTGAGCTACTGTACTTGAGCTATCCTAACTTGAGTGAGATACAAATTAACATGGGATTTACACAGGGTGATTGGATTAGCAGAATAATTGGATGAGCTATTGCATCCCCACTACATTACTAACTTGGGCATCAGCAGGTTTCAGAGTAGCAGCTGTGTTAGTCTGTATTCGCAAAAAGAAAAGGAGTACTTGTGGCAATTAGAGACTAACCAATTGATTTGAGCATAAACTTTCGTTATTGGTTAGTCTCTAAGGTGCCACAAGTACTCCTTTTCTTTTTGCGAATACAGACTAACACGGCTGCTACTCTGAAACCTGTCATTATGCAAGGCCCTGCATTTAGCTGTATGGAGTGGAAATCTATTTGTCCTCACTGTATTTTCCACTGAATGCATCCGATGAAGTGAGCTATAGCTCACAAAAGCTTATGCTCAAATAAATTGGTTAGTCTCTAAGGTGCCACAAGTACTCCTTTTCTTTTTGGGCATCAGCATCACTCGAGCTTCAATAACTCCCCCCATGGGCCAGTAGGGTGACCAGACGTCCTGATAAAATCGGGACTGTCCCGCTATTGAGCAGTTTGTCCCGCATCCTGACCTAAGTATGGTCGGGATGCCATTTGTCCCGATATTTTGTTTTGGGCGCGGGTTTTTTTTTTTGTGTTTTGTTTTTTGCTTAGGCGGTGGTGACAGGCAGGGGGAGCGCCTTTTCAATTGTTACACTCACCCGGCACGTCCGGGTCTTCGGCGGCACTTTGGCGGTGGACACTTCAGTTGCTGACGGGCTTCATCGGCATTTCAGTGGCGGGTACTTCTTTATTGGTCGGCAAGATTTATTTCCCGCTGCCGAACGTGCTGGGTGAGTGTAACAATTGAAAAGGCGCTCCCCCTGCGGTGGTCCCAGTATTTTGGATTTCGCATCTGGTCACCCTGTGGGCCAGCAAGGTTGAGTTTACAGCACCATTTAACTTGAGCTAGAGATTTTTGTGTGTGTGTGGATGGGAGTTGAGTTGGGGGTAACACTCAAGTTATAACTCAAGCTAACTGTGCTGTGAAGACACATTCATATTATACTCCTAAACAGGTAGTCATGTATTCTCCCTTCTGCAGACAACCAAGTCCACTCTGCTCTGAATGGAGGGAAGGCTATTTGCCAAATCATTTCCCTTTGCACAGAGTTTAGTTTCACTGCAGTTCTTCCTCTCTTCCTTCCCTGGGTATGACTACACTATGGAGACTATACTGGCATAGCTATGTTGCTGGCACAATCCCACAGTGTAGAGGCAGCCTATAGTGATGGAAGGAGATTTTCTGTTGGTGTACGAACACCGCCTCCCCAAGTGATGGCAACATTCTTCCCCTGACCTAGCTGCGTCTATACGAGGGGTTAGGTTAGGTTACTCAGGAGGTAAGGGGTAGGGATTGTTTACACCCCTGACTGCAATTGCTATGTCGACCTAAATGTTAAGTGTAGACCAGGCCTGACTTTTGAGCTGGGGCCTGATTAAAGGCCCAGTGAAAACAATGAAAGACTCCTAGTGACTTCAGTAGGTTTGGGATTGGCCCTTGATCTTTATTGAAAAGTTTTAAGGAGGGGATTTGAATGCGAGATGAAAGTTCTTTGGCATATAGGAGGGGCAGGAAGCTCTCGGCACGTGGGGAGCAAAGAGAAGAGCAAATGAAGATAATAGTGGGAGATGGATACAAAGTGCTCTTCCTGAAACTAGACTTAGACCTCTAGACAGAGGAGACTAGGGAATGAGTTAAACTGAAGAGTCCCAGGCCTTTTCAGTTACCCTTAAAATCACTTTTGTTCTTTTAAAAAACCTGATTTTAAATTAAAAAAAACCTGGCCATAATCTGTGACTTTTCATTCCTTTTACCATCATATTATGATTTTTATTATGACAATACAACATCTCTTCTCTCAGGCACACTGTTGTGTAACTTTGGAATAATTCTATGGACATCAGTGTAGTTGCTCAGGATTCACACAAACTCCATTGACATCAAGGAAGTAACTGTAAATTGACTGCAGGGTAACTGAGAAAACGTCATCGTGAGCCGAGTTGTTTTTTTTTAATTTGTGAATAAACTTTCTTAGGTTTAAAATAAAGGACACTCTTTAATCAAATGGCTTTATGTATCATGCTTTATAGATTAAGATTTTCATATCCAAGTCTTTGAAATCAGTGTTATTCAGTTTTTTGTTTCGCTCTTCTGTTGTCAGCTTCTTAAAAATAATTTGCTTCCTTTATTCTAGGGATGTAACCCCTTGGCTGAGACTGGCCGAAGCAAACTGCAAAATCAAAGAGCTGCCCTAAACCAACAGATCCTGAAAGTAGTAAGGTTGAGAACTGGTGCTGAAAATCTTTTACGGTATGTTTCCGCCACTTTACTATTTTTCTGTCTAAAGCAACAAAATGTTTTTTATTCTTTCTGCAGGGGTGTCCTTCCATTCTCAGACAGCTGCCTCGCTGCTCCCATAACTTGCTGAATAAAGTGCAGCTGGATGTTTTGCTAACAGCCTTATTTAATGTTTTTATGCCCCATCTCTATAAAGTCATTAACTGTTATATTATGTTTTTATGTTTTCAAAGTGCATTTTGAAAGCCACTGCTTTGCAGAAAAAGGGCATTGCACTAGACCAGGGATAGGCAAACTTTTTGGCCTGATGGCCACATTGGCATTGCGAAACTGTATGGAGGGCCGGGTAGGGAAGGCAGTGCCTCCCCAAATAGCCTGACTCCCTATCCACCCCTCCCACTTCCTGCCCCCTCCCAGAACCCCCAGTCTGTAACCGCCCCCCCGGGACCTCACCCCCTATCCAACCCCCCCCCGCTCCCTGTCCCCTGACTGCCCCCCTGCCCTCTATCCACACCCGTGCTCCCTGACAGCCCCCCCCTCCCCCCAGGACTCCCATGCCAATCCAACCCCGCCGTTCCAAGTCCCCTGACTGTCCCGACCCCTATCCACACCCGCACCCCTGACAGGCTCCCTTGGGACTCCCATGCCTATCCAGTGCCCCCTGCTCCCTGTCCCCCGCCCCATCCTGTCCTCTGACTGCCCCTGGGACACCCTGCCCCTTATCCATCCCTTCCCCCGCCCCCTCATCATGCTGCTCAGAGCAGCAGGAGCTCGCAGCCCCGCTGCCTGGCCGGAGCCTGCCACGCCGCTTGCGCTGCCTGGCAGGAGCGGTGGGCCAAAGCGCTGGCGGTGCGGCACGCTGAGGCTGCAGGGGAGGGGAGACAGTAGGGGAGGGCTAGCCTCCCTGGCCGGGAGCTCAGGGGCCGGGGTGGGTCCCACAGGTTGGATGTGGCCTACGGTCCGTAGTTTGCTCACCTCTGCACTAGACTCAAGTTGTTAAATGACTTTGTATGAAGACTGCTGAAATTATCCTAAATCAGTTTTTGCTAGAGTCTTTCATTAGATCATGGTTGTTAACATGATGCCTGCTTGTAAAGGAAGCAAGTGAACACTTTTCTGAATATTAATTGTCTAAGAGTGTGATCCCCACAACACAGATCTTCCCAGGATCCTTCAGATTTGTGGCCCACTGGCAGAGGGGCTCACCAGCGGAATTGTGAGCTAGTGAACAGCAGGCAGTGTGGCATATGGCTGACTGCTGCTAGCTGTTGCTCATTCAGGACCTATGTCCATTGTGCCCCTTTAAATTCCGTAGGCTTCATTGTGACATGACCTGGAAGAAGAGGGTGGAGTAGACCACATCTGAGAGGCAGTGACTGACTTGGTCAGCAGGCTGGATGTTGCAGTGGGCCAGATTTTTGCGGGGTTGAAGGCAAAATTTTCCTGGACCCGGGCCCCATGGTAAAATTTTCAAAAGTGCATCAATGACTTACCTAAGTCCCATTTTTAGAAGTCACTTAGGTATTTAGGAGCTTAAGTCCCATTGACTTTCAATGAGACTAAGGGCTTGTCTACACATAAACCACAGGTACACTGCTGCAGCGCTTCAGTGAAGATGCCATCTATGCTGATGGGAGGGGTTCTCCCATTGGTGCAGGTATTCCACCTCCCGAAGAGGCAGTAGCTAGGTTGACAGGAGAATTCTCCCTCTGACCTAGTGCTGTCTAAACTGGAGGTTAGGTTGGTTTAACTGTGTTACTCAGGGGTGTGGATTTTTCACACCCGAGTGACATAGTTATACCGACCTAATTTCCTAGTGTAGACCAGGCCTTAGACTCCTAAGAGCCTAAAAGTGACTTTTGAAAATTGGACTTAGGAAAATCAATAGGAGCTTTTAAAAATTGTACCCCATTACAGACTGAATCCACTCCTGGAGTTTCTGCAGGTGCCTGCTATAAAGGTTCACTGGTCTGCAATGCCAGTTTCTGATTCTGAAAGGAAAAAATGCTTTCTACCTTGATGGCATAAAATGATCTCTGGGCTTCCCCTGGTTTGTGTGAAACCCCGTGTGCTATCTAGAGTAAAGTATATGAACATCTGTAAAGTATGAACTTCCTTTTGTGCACTTGCTTTTTGAGATTCTGTCTTTCCACTTTGGTTTCCTTTAGTTCTCTGAGTTATTTATCTTAAAAATCTGACCTTGCAATGTTTATGGGGAAACCCCATAGCTGGTCTGTGGTGGGGAGGGGATTTCTGTTTCATTTGCCTGCTGCTGGAAGGCTTTTCTTCTTTATTAAAAAAAAGAAAAAACAAAGAAACAAACCATTTATGTAGACCCTACCTGTATCTGCCTTGCAGTACAAGCCTTGTATTGTCCCATACCATCTAACCCTACGACTGGCTGTTCTAGTCGCTATTTTCCCCCAACAGCTCTCTCTCCTGCTATTTGTGGATGAGGATTTCTCCTTGGTATTTAAAACTGCTTCATATGGTGTCTTTAATCTGCCATGACTGGAGAATCTATGGGTTTGTGGAGAGTTTTCAGTGTCCAATACAAGAATCCAGTCAATGTGATTTCTTCAGAGAAAATTACACATGTAACTCTACTTCTCTGAAGCATGACTACTTTGACTAGATTCCCACTTGCCCACCCACCTGCCTTACCCCTCAGATGTTGGAAGTGACAGATGCTCAGGGGCATATCCTCAGCTAGTGTAAATCATCCTGACCCCTTTGACTTTCATGGAGCTAGACAATTTACACTAGTTGGGGATTTTTTGCCTCTCAGTGACTGACTTTTATTTTAGTGCGTATCTTACCATAGATATGTTTTTTGGCTGTGTATTTTGCTTAAAATTTGTAGATCTGTCTGTTTCATGCTCAACAAAGAGCTGTCCTGTAGGCCACTGAGGTAAGGGCATTGAGTTGCAGAATGGGGTTCCCTGACTTTACATGTTATATGTAACTCGCACATCTCCTGAGTGTGGTGTTCTGTCCCCTCTAGTGGTACCGAGACCACTTGGAGATTAATGAGTCTCCTACAGCTTCAGTTAAGAGCCATGTGACTTTTACCTCATGCAGTAGAGGCTCATGCATTTAGCTTCAGAGGTCCTATGATTAATCCCACCCACAGACAACCGGGGTCTGTCTGTGTTACATATATATACAAATACCTCCATTGAAATGCTGTCACTTATGGTGTATTAGGGAATACCACAAATGCCTGTTCTTAGATGGAGGGAAATATTAACCTTTTGGCTGCCTGGCACCTCTCTACATCTCCTTGGCTAACCCACTATTCACTTTGAGTTGCACGTCCTTTAAAATAACCCTGCGGTGGCTGACACTCAACGAGCCAGGAGTAAACCTGTCTCAAATTAGGGCTTCAGGGGACTCACTATGTGGACCAGGCGGAATGACGTCCGCTTTCTCTCTTGAGAAGGGGATGACAGGGCATCCCAGAGAGGACATAATTCCCCCTTACCACAGGAAAAAACTGCATTCACTGTGGAGCTCAGGTGCCCATGGGGTAGCAGCCATGCTGGCTGTTTTCTGCTGCCCACAGAAGTAACTGCTTCTAAATATATTTGAAAAGAGGAGTTTTATTAAAAGCAAAGAATCTGGGATCAGTTACCCTGATAGAGACATTTGGCAGAATAATTAAAATATAGTTTCCTGTTTACTTTTCTGCTGAATTTCCAGAAAAAGATATAAAATGGACATTTTATCTATAAAGAACCCTCGGTGAAAATTCAAATCCAAAGGGGACACAGTCAATACTGACAGGCTGGCCCAATATTTCATTTGATTTTTTTTTTGTACAGGTTTTCAAACTCCATGTAAATCTTGGAGTTTCTTTCTTCCAAAGCAAAATCATAACAGAAACACAGTGCTAGACGCCCAGCCTCACTCCTAATGCAGTCTCATAGCAACAAACTAACAGCACAGGCAATGAAACAATGGAGGAAGTGATTTTTGGTTTTCATGAAACCCAAATCCAGTTTTAAGCTTACAAGCGGTAAGAGCTCTGTGTAGCTTGAAAACTTGCCTCTTTCAGCAACAGAAGTCCAATAAAAAGACATATAAGTCCAATAAAAGATATTTTCTCACCCACCTTGTCTCTCTAATATCCTGCGATCAACATGGCTACAACAACACTGCAAAGAAGAGTTACTAAAACCAACAGTGTGGAAAAGTGATTGTAAAATGAGGGGGAACACACCTTTCAAATATTCTGGTGGGTATGAGCAGTGTTCCCTCTAATGTTTCCCTATTGGTGCACATAACAACATTCATGTGGCGGGGATGAGGCCAAGGGGTTTGGAGTGTGGAAGGGGGCTCAGAGCTGGGGCAGAGGGTTGAGGTGTGGGGGGTGTGATGGCTCCAACTGGGGATGCAGGATTTGGGGTGGGCTGGGGATGAGGGGTTTAGGGTACAGGCTGGTGGGGAGAGAGAACTTCCCCCAGCTCTCTCTTACCACAGCAGCACCTGGGCTGGAGGGGAGAGGTACCTCTCCCCACCGCAGCAGCTCCGGGGCTGGGGGCTGCGGGATAGGCCCTCTCCCCCAGCCCCGGCAGGTCTGGGCCGGGGCTGGGTTGGGGCTGGGGGAAGGGTGCCTCTCCCCCTGGCCACAGCAGGTCCTGGCCAGGCTGGGGGAGAGGCATCTCTCCACACCGCAGCCCTGAGCACCTGCACGGCACTTAATAGGCTGCTGCGCGGCCGCACAGTTTAGAGGGAACTAAGGCTGTGAGTTTTCATCCACTTTCTGATACCGTCCTCTTCTTCACCATGGAATCGGATTGCTTAATTTCTCTTGATTGCTTAATAACTAGTCTTATAATTAGCAGAGTCATTTAAATAAAAGTTACAAATTTGCCACATTTCTTTTCTGAATTAAGATGTGTTAAATTGATGTTAACACTGATTTCAAAGTAACATCTCTCATATTTATTAACAAGAGTAATTTAAATCTTACTGAAAAGGACCTGGGCCTGCATTCCTGCCCGAAGCAGAGCTCTTAGGCCAGTGTTTTTAAAAATGGTCACTGAATCTGGTTGTGTTAATTTCTGGGTGCCCAACTTGGGGCTAATTTTCAGAAGAGCTGAGCACAAATGAACGCCATGATTTCTCAACTGAACGGTGATGTTCTGCTCCTCTTAAAAATCAGCCCCAAAGCGTCTCAACCTGGGATCCCAAAAAGAGGCACCCAAAATCCGTGTCTACTTTTTGAAAATGCAACTGCTGCTGACTTCAGTAGGAGCTCTGGCTAAGTAAGGAGTGTAGGATTGGACCTAATTCTGGTGTGTGTGTGTGTACCATGTAATTAAAGTCCAAGTACATCTCTAAAATCAAATTGCATCAAAACATATTCAATTAGACTATTTAAATGTACATCATTTGTAGGTGCTGTGAGGTAAACAACTGCTCTTAGGGCAAACTGTATTTCAGACTCATTTCTAGGTATGCCGCTGGATGATAGTTCAGATAGTTGGACTAACTCAAAGTGTTCCTCAAGCGAAAAGAAATCAAAGATTGAGATTTTATTTGCATTTCAGCAGACTCCAGAAGCAGCAAGCCAGTCTTTTGTCCACAGGAAGTCTCTCTTAACGCAGTTTGAGGAAAAACTGGAAATGCTGGTTCCTTTATTACTGGCTGAAACACAAGTAAAATAATGAGACATTTATACTTCCACAGAGAATTATGGGTTAGCAGGTGTGTCCTAATCTAAGTTGGAATGTTTATATAGCAAATACTGATCTCGTTAACTAATAATTCTATTGGGTTATTGACTATTTGGTTATATGGACCAAAGTTCAGAGTATCAATCCATAAGCAAATAAGCAATTGTTCAGTCTTAACTTTTTAATGGAGTTTTGTGTTGCCAGCTAATTGTTTATCTTAAAACAGCACTTACGATAAATAACATGAGATTTCTAGGTACTACACGGTATTGCGTTGCTTATATGATGATTCATGCTAGAAGCAGGTGTTAATATAGCTACACCCAGAAATATTCAAATAGAAACATGTGCAGAAATGCTTTAGGGGCTACATTTAAAGACGTATCTATTATGCTAATGGTATAAAGGGATGCTATACCTATACATGAATTGCAAATGGAAGAAAACGATTATCCCCAGACACATCAGAAAAACAGAACTAAAGGGAAGTCACATCACATTCTTCTTGTGAGGAGAAAAATGTCTTGTTTTTGTTTTAGGAAAATAGAACTAACAGTAATCATACCAGATGATGAATGCATTGTCCAGTGACTATAATGGTGGGAGAGAGGGGTTTAACCAAAGTTAGACATGTACTTTTTTCTTTACAGCTCATTTTAGGAGAAAGCCTTGTAATCAACTCAGATTTTTATTTTCAGAATATAATTAAGATGTAAACCCTTCTGTTTCACTGTTAATTTGTCCTCCAAGTTAAATCTTAAAATCAGTCCAAAAAGATCAGCACATAGCAAACCTGTTGAGTGTCTGCACGCTCTTTTGTATCTGAAACCTATTCCAAGTTCTGTCTTGGCAGCAAATCAAATAAATTCTGAAACTCGAGTTCTCATATCATCTCTTAAGAAAAAAAATCTTAAAAATGATGGGAATGCCAGTAAGGGGGCTCAACGAAGCTGGTGTACAATACGGAGCCTATTCTCTGGGCAGTCACTAAGGGGCATATCTCTTTCTCTTTGCAGAGCAACCACCAACAACAAAGTGCGAGAGCAGGCACTTCTGGAACTGAGTTTTGTAAACTCAGACCTGCAAATCTTAAAGGAGGAATTAGAAGGACTTAATTTCTCAGTGGAGGTTTATCAGAACACAGAGTAAGTGAAAATCTACTCTATTATCAACCCACCTTTTGTTTACAGCTGGAAATAAAGCTGGTGCTGGATGAGTGTGAATGCTGGATAATAATTACATGAAAAAATTGTGAATAAAGAACATGATAGAAGGAGAATATACTTTCTCTTAATCAACAGTCTGACCACATAGTCTGTATATTTGTCTCTCTCTGAGTCTGCCTGAGCTGCCGCAGTGCCTTATGGGAGTTGTAGTTCCAGGTCCCTCATGCCTCCATTCTCCAATATTGACCTTGCTTCAGGCCTGACTACATCTCACATGATGCATCGCAGTCTCTCCCTGTGGCTAAGCTGCTACTGCGGTGCATGAGACCCTGCAGAGGTTCAGCCGCCGGTAGAGAGCAGGCGAGCAAGGCCCATAGAGGAAAATAGGGGCAGCTCCCATTAAACACCGCAGCAACTCAGGCGGACACAAAGATTAATATTGTCCTGATGTGAACTGAAACATATTGGTTTTCCCAAAGGAAAATTCTGCCAAAATCAAGTTTTCCATAGAAAATTTTGACACAAATCTCATTTTCTGAGGGGAAAATGTTTTTTGTTCAGATTTTTTCCACCCTCTCAAACATGCACAGGGAGTGCAGCAGGGAAAATGAAAGTGACAGCTGCAGTAGTGACAGAAGGGGGAGCAGGTTTGTGATAGTCTCCAGAAGCACATACATAGCCCACCTCTCCATCCTCCCTAGCAAGTCCTTTAAGATAATTTAAAACATTCTGCTCTTCGATGGTGAAGACCAGTGTTCCCTCTAATTTTTCCCACCCATGTGCGGAATGAATTTTGTTATGTGCACCAATATGAAGGTGATGTGTGACACATTACCTTCATATTGGTGCACATAACAAAATTTATGTGCTGGGGATGGGACCAAGGGGTTCAGAGTGTGGGACGGGGCTCAGAGCTGGGGAAGAAGGTTGGGGTGTGAGGGCTCTGGCTGGGGATGCGGGCTCTGGGGTTGGGCTGTGGCTGAGTCCACGCTGGTCTGGGCTGTGCCACCCTGGCCACGCCTGGGGCAAGGCTGCTCCGAGCCATGCAGCCCTGGCTGCGCCCGGGCCCAATCCAGCTGAGCCGCCCTGGCTGCGACAGGTCTGGGCCACAGGCTGAGTTGGAGCTGGGGCAGGGGTGCCCCTCCCCTGGCACGTTGGGGGCCGGGCGAGGGATGCCCCTCCCCACCGGGGCAGGTCCCTGCTCCGGGCGAGTTCACTGAGTGCCTGTGTGGCGCTAAATGGACTGCTGTGTAGCCGCACAGTTTACAAGGAATTTAGGTGAAGACCTAGGTTTTGGTGAAGATCTTGTGGCTGGAACAGTGGCCTTCTGACTGTCATTTTAGTTGACCTCCTTTGAACTATTTCCTACATTTCCAATGATGTTCATATTATAAAGAACTCCAAACTGCAGGCATTATGTTATGTACAGTTTAACCAAGTCTGCATAAAGGACACATCAGTATTTCATGTGTCAAAGAGTGGCACTCTTTCTCCATATCTATAGACCATATACTCCCCTCCACTTATGCAGTGCAGAGAAAAGGGGAAAGTCCCAAAGAATGCTAAGAAGAGGGAAGCCATGTAGGGGAAAAGGGGAGTATAGGCATATTACTACCTCAGTGACAACCTGTGTCCCCTCTGCGACTGCTGCAGAGAGAGCAGAGCTCTCAAAGAGCTGTACTTCTTAGGAGGGCTATATGCCCTTCTTTCCTGTTTTAGGCATGATGTGAACCACATGTTCGCCAGTTGACAGGGATCTCTTGTTGGTTAAAGGATATAATAATGTGTCTTTATACAACTCTGGTTGACCATCCTTGAAGAATGGATACAACTTTGGGCACTTTTTGTACAGAATAGACACCAGAAAGTGGGATAAGACAGGTAAACCTGTCAAGCAGATCTGTTTCTAAACAGAGGGCCATATTCTCCCTCCACTCATACCTGTGCAACCCATACAGCAAAAACTGAGGGCAAAATCTGGCCCAGAAAATTTCTGAGATGGTCACAGGAATCCTGAAAATGCAAATACCACTTGTTTCTTTGTCTTCCTATTGCATATTATACACTTGTTCAGGAGGTGGGAGGAGAGTTTGCCCTGAGCATGTACATGAGAATACCCCTGTAGCCATAAAAATGCTCCTAGCGTGCCTATGGGCCAATCCTTACTGTGTGGTCAAAGGATATTTTTCAAAACTGTGTGTCACACACCCAGTATATAAGAATAGAGAAGACTATTATTTAATCTATGGGTGTGGCACTTCAGTAGCTAAAAGCAGATATTGAATTTCTTTACGTTCATTTTAGAGTTGGCAGAAACACTGGTGTCCAGGGAAATTGTACACAAGCGTGGCTGCTTAATGAAGATGGATCATGAAAGAACATATTCAATCAATATTAAATCAATATGTAATATTTTTAGTATCTTGGCTTTTATCAGATTATTTTTCAAAGGTAACTGCTGTAAAAGCATTAAAATAACAGTTCTTTCCAATATTTGGTTACATTAGATGTGTTCGCAAAAAGAAAAGGAGTACTTGTAGCACCTTAGAGACTAACCAATTTATTTGAGCATGAGCTTTCGTGAGCTACAGCTCACTTCATCAGATGTATACCGTGGAAACTGCAGCAGACTTTATATACACACAGAGATCATGAAACAATACCTCCTCCCACCCCACTGTCCTGCTGGTAATAGCTTATCTAAAGTGATCATCAGGTGGACCATTTCCAGCACAAATCCAGGTTTTCTCACCCTCCACCCCCCCCACACAAATTCACTCTCCTGCTGGTGCTAGCCCATCCAAAGTGACAACTCTTTACATAATGGAGGTGGAGGGTGAGAAAACCTGGATTTGTGCTGGAAATGGCCCACCTGATGATCACTTTAGATAAGCTATTACCAGCAGGACAGTGGGGTGGGAGGAGGTATTGTTTCATGATCTCTGTGTGTATATAAAGTCTGCTGCAGTTTCCACGGTATACATCTGATGAAGTGAGCTGTAGCTCACGAAAGCTCATGCTCAAATAAATTGGTTAGTCTCTAAGGTGCTACAAGTACTCCTTTTCTTTTTGCGAATACAGACTAACACGGCTGTTACTCTGAAACCTGTCATTAGATGTGTTGCACCCTCAAGTGTGTGTGTGGGTGTGTGTATTTGTGCCCCATTACCAGGGAGAATAGTTTTAAACTCCATCAGGGGCTCCATAGGAGCCCCCTGCAAATGCTGCCCAGTAGGTGAGCTGAATAAGCGCTGCTCCTTGGAGCCCTGCCTTCTTTCTGGATTGCACCAGCCAGCTCTAGGGACCTTCTTATGCTAAACTGGAGTTGTGAGTAGATTTCACTACTGCTCCCCTGGCAGACTTTTCACCACCAGGGACATGCATCTCAGGTTCTGCTGGCTTTGCTGATGGAAACCTGTGAGTGAATCACTCCCACAGTATTTCGTAGTGAAAAAAGTCAGTTAAGTGTTTGCTGGAAAAAGAAAAGATCAGATAAACATATCCAGACGCCAAGGACACTTTTTTTTCAAACAGACACTATTCCATCTTTCCTACTCAACATGTTGTAAATAATAACTGGAAGAAATCCTGAAATCAAATTCTCTGTTTGAAATGGGACATTTTGCTTAGGAAGAGTGGTGAAGACAGATTTCACAGTTGGGACCAAATGCTCATGATCTCCTTATTCATATGAGTAGTCCCACTAGCAAACAATAGGATTACTCTTATAATATGAGCAGGATTTGGTCCTTGATCAAGAGTTTTATTTTCCTTGAGGATCAAGGGGTTTTTGTTTTTGGTTTTT